CCCCGACGGCGGCGCGGAGAGGCGAGGAGAGGCGCGGAGAGGCGCGGGGCTCGCCGCCACCGGCACCGGCAAAGCGGCGGCGAGGCTGCGGGGCCGGCGGGCATTGGTCCTCCGAGCCGGCCGCCGGGGAGCTGGGTGTGCAGAGAGCGATCCGCTTTGTGCCTGCCTTCTCCTCCGTGCCAGGCTTATTTACAGCAGTTCACAAATCCTACACGATCCGTTCGCGGGTGCTGGCAAGGCTTATGTCCCTTCTACATATATATATATATGTGTGTGTGTGTGTGTGTGTGTGTATAATTTCCCCCACACTTGTTCCCGTTCCGGAGTTTTCGAGAGGCAGCCGGGTCCTGCCGATGTGAAATGGCAGATTTCTATTAAAGATAAGTATCGTGCAGCGTTTTTCCAACTAGGGGGTCAAATTCCAGGCAACTTTGCTGCTGCCGTTATTTTATCGCCTCTCAGAAGGAAAAAAAAAATCCTCTAAATGCGGCGGTAGCCATTTTGCATTATATTCTCCAGATTTGGCTTTTAAAACATTTAGAATGGTAGCCCAAATTGTGCTGCCTTCCACACAAAAGAGCCTCGATGCGTATACAAGTGCATTTGTACACAGCTTCACATGCACACTCATGCACACGCAATTTAATATAGAGAGATATAACATATATATTAATCAATATTTTTGCTGCGCTTTTTTTACTTTTACAAATCTCGAAGTGGAAGCATTTTATGGCAGCTATTTTTCTTCAAAGCATCAATTTATTTTTTCCAGTGCTAAGTAATGCGAATGTGAATTAAGATACCGCAGAAGCAGGAAAGAAAATCCCCGAGTTAATAAGACCTTCTCTTCAAATAAGAAAGAAAGAGAGGAAGGAAGAAAGAAAGACAGAAAGAGAGATAAAAGGAAAAAAAGATCGATCTAAGCTCACGAAGCCCCAAGAAATGTAGTCCATAATTCAAAGCCTCTTCAGTGCAGAGCTGAGCTCACCAAAACCTTAGTGTAAGCTCAACGGGAAACACAGAAGATTGCCCACTTCGAAACCTTTTCCCTCGCTTCCCCTGAAGTTTAACGCCGAGTTTTCACTTTAATACTAGTAGTGCAGACTAAGCAGTTTAGCGGTATTTAAAAAAAAATCTCCCTGCAATTCATCTCCGCTTTAACTGAAAGTTTATACACAGGGATTTCTACAACGTTTTTTTTTTAAAGAATTTTTCTCCCTTTTGCTATTTAAATATCTTATACATAACTAAAACTTTTTTCCCCCCCTGTGGGTCATAAACTCCCAAACACAGCATAACAAGATGGCCCACCGTAGCGGGAGCTAGCAAAAACATAAACCACATATCTTCTAAAATCTCTTGTCTTTCTACAATATGAGTATTTCTAATTTAAAAAAAAAAAAAAAAGATTAAAAATAATTTGCTAATCTTTTCTCACACAAGCACACCAGGGACACTCACCCGCACATGGATACTCATCTCAAATATTTAAAATTTTGGGCCAATTCTCTAGTACTTTAACCGACACCATATATGCTTTGGGAAGGTGGTTACATACATACATGCCTGTAGCTCGAAAGCTGGGGCTTCCACATATATTAGAGTAAGTCACAGATGATTGCAAATATACATTTTTTAACCAAGCCTTTTGGGGATTAATAGACTGTGACAAACCTATAGGATTTCAGTAGCAGAAGGAACACAAGGTAAATAATAATAATAGTAGTAATAGTAGTAAGCACTAAGGAAAGGCCTGGTAGCGTTTATTAAACGTGGTTCTACTCCCCTGACTTTTCCTCTGTTTCTTCGCTGCTGGGCTGTGTGGAATTTATGAATTTGTTTTCCTTTTTCCATTTCATCCGCCTGTTTTGAAACCATATTTTAATCTGGCGTTCAGTAAGGCAGAGAGCGTTTGCAATCTCAATACGTCGTCTTCGGGTTAAGTATCTGTTAAAATGAAATTCCTTCTCTAACTCTAGCGTTTGGTATCTGGTGTAAGTTTGCCTCCCTCGTCTCCCATGTGTTCCATATACTGTACCTGTAGAAGTAAAGACAAAACGATCGCATTGGACAGGGCCCAGTGATTTCAGACCAGAAAGAGCGATTAGTATATTCTGCCTCCTTTTGCAGGCACAATCACGGGGAGTGGGGGAAGCTGCTCTGGTTTCCTGGAGGCTTTTTTTTTTTTTTTTAATTTTTCTCTTTTCCCTTTCTTCTGCCTGACGAGCTGTAAATGAGGATGTGCAGTGTGCTTACGGGTGGCGGGGTAAGGGGGATACAAAGAGGCAATAAGGCGGACCTAGGGAAGGTGCAGGAGGTAGCACGGTGCGAGTCGCTGAGCAGAGGCTGCTCTGTGCGCGCTGGGAGCCTGTGCGCACACACAGGCACAGGCACACGTGTGCTAGCCGGGAAGCCTCACGCATGTGTCTGTGCCTGTGTGCGTGTGTGCACGCACATGTGGCTGTGTTGACACAAACACACAGCCATTGCCATGGCTGGGACTACAGAAGATCTCTAAGTATAATTATAGACATCAGCTAAAGATCATAGAAGAGCGTTTTGTCATTTGCTCCGGAATTTATTGCTCTTGAATGCAAAGCAGCATCGGAATGGTCTTGCTAAAAGTTTAATTTTCAAAAAAAAAGGAGTGAAACCTGTCCCTGCAGCAAACATAAACTCGGGAGGATGTGAGAGAAGGCGAGTCATTAGCAAACACTTGAAGTAAAGGTTTAAATTTGGGATTAAAAAAATAAATGTCATCTATATGCAACCCTCCCACTCCACTCCCACCCCCCATTCCCCCAGCACCACTCCTATACAGAATAGTTCAATTATGTGAAGTTCACTCCTAAGTCTGAAAAAATTCGCGATGCCGTGGAAATGCGCCCACGGCCCCAGAAACGTGCTCTCAATATCCAATACTCACAGGCTAATGAGCTGGGGGAGGGGGGGCGAGGAGGAATGTACCACAAATGCTTTGGATCCTCAGTACAGAGGGCATATTCCATGCATCGCTCTCTGACAATGAAGAAGCAGAGCAGAGGCTTTGGGATGGCTTTAAGAGAGTGATAAAAGTGCTTTGTTCCTTTTTATGTCCTTTTTTTTTTTTTTTTCCTCTCTACTTTTCAAGGATTCCCCTGTAACTTTCACCAGTAAACCTACATAGTGGGATCTTGGCCACCATTCCCTGGGTGCCAACGTGCCAGGTCTAAACCTGAGAAGATTTCATGTTACATATTGCCCTGAAGGAACCGTGTTTCTCCAGCAATCTGGACTTTATCTAACAAAAAAATTATATATATAAAAAAGAAACTTTGCCTTTTCCTCCCCTCTCCGCCCTTGACTGCACCGAGATGCCTTACCAGCGCAGGAGTTCATCCGCTGCATCCAAGGGTAAACAGGGCTCGTGTACTTCCGGTCGGTGCCTTCGTCATTTATAATTTTGGCTTGGCCGCCGCTGGTTTTGTACTGTTGATCGGGAGAAAAGTGCAGGTAGTCCCCGGGCCCCCTCTGTTTGCCACTGCCGGAAGGAGAGGCGCTACTAATGTCCTTGTCCGAATAAAAACAAGAGGCTCCGTACTCATAGGAAGCCCGACTGCAAGCAATGACGGTGTTGGACTGTTGGTAGAAACAAGGTGAGGTGTAAGTCTTGTCCTGCAGGCTGCTTGCCCCGTACGAAGCCGGAAAATGCCTGAGAGCATCATAGCCCGTCGGGTACAGGGGGATCTGCCCGAGGAAGGAGTCCTGGCCCCCGGGCAGGCTCCCCGGGAAAGTGGGATTCACAAAATAGGAACTCATTTGCTCTCCCCCTCTCCCGGACCGTGATTTGTTGTGTATTAGTACATCTGGCGATAACTATTAGGAGTCATCGAAGTGGTTTGTTTCTGGATGGCCGAGCGCCAAAAGCGACAGCAGAAAATAGGAGCAGCTGACGGCGGGGCGGCCAATGGGAGCGCGAGCGGCGCCCGCTCCCCCGGGGCCGCCGCCACCGCGCCGCCAACTTACCGGCAGCGCCGGCCCCGCCGCGCCGCCCCGCGCCCCCCGCACCGCGCCGCGCAGCCCGCGGGACCGGCCGCGCCCCCGCCGCGGCGCCGCCCCTCCGCGGGAAAAGAACCCAATAATAATAACAACAGCAACAGCGATAATTCCCGGCAGAGCGGGCGGTGCGAGAGCGGGGAACGGGGACACCCCCACCCCCCCGCCTCCCCTCCTGCTGCGGCTGCTGGAGGTGTGTGTAGGGGGGCGCCCTTAAAAGTTGGAGACCCCACGACAAGGGAGTCGCGCGACCCCGTGGGAAGGGTGGGCGAAGCGCCCCCGGCTCTCCGGCGGAGGGAAAGAGGAGGGAGGGAAGGACGCGGCGGTGGAGGATGCTGCGAAGGGAAACTTTGGAGCGAAGGGAGCACGTGAAAGGGGGAGCGGAGCGCCGCGCAGCGTGGGAGGCCGGGGGGGGGGGGGGGGGGGGGGGGGGGGTGGCAGCCCCTCTCCGTTTTGCCGTCGCGATGCCACAACCTCATCCAAGAATTTTTAAGCTATTCTAAAACGTATTTATTTATCCATTCAGTCGAAAATTGCCCCTCCACTAAGGCTTCCCTTCGGAGCTCAGGGAGCCCACCCCAGCCCCGAACCCAGCTTTTGTGAGAGAGGTTAACGCGTCCTGCAGTGGAAGAGGTCTCGTATCTTAGTGAACATCCCCATAGTCAGGAGGTTGGGGCGGTGGCCTTCTGGGGAGTGGGATTTTTGATTTGGACCAAGTGCCCGAGGAGGCCTCGGGAAGAGCCGCATGGACTCCAGGCTCCCACCGGCAGCCCAGATGAAGTTCCATGTGTCTCTTCTCCCCAAGTCTACCCTCCTCTCGCCAGAGCAGAGCCGAGGGAATCAAACATTCAAATTCAAAAACGAGACAGTAAGACTATCCCTAATTAATACAACTCCGCTAATGAGTCAGCAGAAGCCAATCGGTTTCGTTGTTGCTCCGAATAATTTGATCAAACGTGGATTTATGTCTTAAAGAGGGAAAGAATAATACACGAAACAAACATTTCCACCTTCATTTTTCAATATGGCAGTTACCCCATAGCGGAAATATAATTCTTGGCCCAAGGCTCGGGCAGTAACAGTGCTGATGAAATTTGCTGATGCGCATTTAAGTCAGCCGTAACCCTGCAGTTCCTGCAGATAACATGAGGTTGTTCATTCCAAGCTGTGTTTACTCATAATCCATGCCCATTACAACAGATTGAATAGACTAATTTTAAACGCGCTCTGTCACGTAAAGTGACATTCGTACGAGCACAGTTTCCTAAAGCAGCTTTCAAAGGAGAGTTTTGTGTTGTTGGGAGACTATTTATCTCATTTCCGGGGGCAGATTACGATACCTATAAAACAGTAGTGAGTTAAAACATCGCTCCACAATAGTTTGTATTGTTTGCAGTCTCAGCTGGACTTTCACATTCAGATGTTGATTGCCTTCGGGTTTTTTTTCAACTTCCTTAACCTCTTCAGCCCAGCTAATCCACAAACACACCTGGTAGAATTACAGCTCACTAGCTGCATGCTTTGAGAGGTCATTTCAGAAACATGTATTTCCTGAAAAGCAGATTTCTCCGGAAAAAAGAGGGGTTTTTTTACTCAGTGAGAATAGTTTCAAAAGGAGGAAACACCAGCAAGGAAGCACTCATACACAGCATGCTAAATGCGAAAAGGCTTTTAAAAGAGCATATTTTCGCCAGTTTAGGTCAGAACGAAAACGCAGCACGGAAAAATGAATGCTCGGGACAAACAAACCCCACCGGCCTTACTTCTAAAAAGTTGTGGGCAGACGATCTTTTGTTCGAATCCATCACACAAAGACCAAAACAAAATTTAAAACAAAAACCACCCCAGGTTTAGTTATATTTACATTTTGTAGCATCGGTTACAGTCTGATATTTTTCCCTCCCTCTATTTATTTTTGTTTCTTTCCCGTTTTTCAAGATACTGTTTGCGTCCAAACCAAGTTGTCAAAGCCCGACCTCAGGGAGCAAAAATATTTCTTCGTCAATCCCATAATACGAAAAAGGAATGAAATCTCCACATTTGCATGACTGGGTCGTGTTCGAGTAGTTACAGTGACAGCTAAACAATCTGCACCACAATCTCCGCTTCAGTCACATTCAGGCGTCCTTTCCGCTCCTCCCCCTACCCCAGAAAACCCCGAATCACAATAATCCGCTACCCCCCAGGTCTGCCGAGGAAATGTCCGGCCTGGATGCATTTCGCAGCAGTTTTCCATCACCATTCCCACCCCCACTCTGGAAAGCAGAAAGCAAGCTAGTCGCTGCATTTTGCCACCGCAACGAAGTCACATTTCGCGATACCTGTGTATTTCATACCCCGTTTATTTGTTTTCGTAATTCCACGCACCCCCAGCATCTCCTCCACAGAACATTTCTCCTTCCTCCTCCCGCCGAAAACGCGTCCGCGTCCCCAGCCACTTTCGGATACAGGTGCGGGAGTAGTTACCCTCTTAAGCTTAAAAGCCTCCTTCTCCTCGTACATAAAACCACTTTCAAATCATTCTCGTGCTCGCCAGCGTCATCAAAACCAACCTTTAACTAATAGCTCCTAATCCAAACAGTTTGGGCAAAGCGGACCGTTGTTTAGACTGGCGGGGTACAGAGAGCCTGGCCGGGGGGACGCGAGCTGGTCCTCTCCAGCCGGCTCCCACCGTGGAAACTTGCGGTTGACACACACCGAGGTACAAGCGGAGGGAAAGGGGAGTGGGCAGAGCTGGTCCTGCCAGAATATTTTGCCCGGGGGCGAGCTCCGATACTCCTGCAGGAAAAGGTAGGCCGCTTTTTTTTTTTTTTTTTTTTTTTTTTAACCTCTTGGTGTTTTATCTGGGCTCCCCCGAGCAGCGCGGGTTACCAGCGCTGCTCTTCCAGGGACTGCGGGGGCCGCTCCACTCCTCGCCCGCCTCCGCCATCCCGCCACGCCGTGGCAGCACTGAGCAGCCGCGACCCGCAATAAATAATCCGGCGCTCACTGCAGCTCCAGTCCGGCGGATACCGCAATGCAATGCAAATGCAGTGCTTTATCAGCCCGGCGGCACAGGCAGAGCCGGGGCCGCCGTTTAAAGCCTTCCGAGCCTCTCCTTCGCCGTGAGGAGGCGGGAGCGGAGCCGGGCGGCAGCGGCGGGGGGGCCCGGGGGGCGCCGTCCCCGGGTCCCCGCTGCCCCCCGCCGGCACACACCGCGGGGCACCGGCCCGCCGGCCGCCGCTCCCCGCCCCAGCGCCGCACCGAAACAGTCACAACAAGGACAGAAAGGGGGGGGGAAGCTCCGTCTCCGGCGCTGAAATGGGTTTAGCCGCCACCAAGCCCGCTCCGCGCAGCCCAGGCGCGCAAGCCGCCCACGCCGCGAACCGCCGGCAGCGGACCCACGGCCGGGCAAGGGATTTATGCAGGCAGCGCTCGGTCTGATAGAGAAAATTTAAGGCACATTCGGGCTGTTTTCCCCCGTCTAGAAATAACCTTCCATAGCAGAGAAGCTAGGAGACATTGTGCTGTTTGTTTCTTTGGGTTATTTTTTTGTTTCTTTTTTATGAAATAGTAAAAAATAAATCACATCTAAATTTCGTCAACCGCAAATGAAATTTCAGCTAATGAGTTAATGCTGCGAATTAGTATTAAAAAATGTTTGGGGATATCACTTTTTCCCCCCTCGTGCTGGGAAAAAAATACCCCCTCCACTGATGCTATAAAACTGAATTATTAGAAAATAACCTGAACGTCACAACATACCCCTGGCTAATGTAAAAAGAAATCAACTTCATATTAAAAAAAAAAAAAATCCACCGCTTCCTTGCTAAATCACAGAAAATAAACATTTTATTTAGGCGTGTTTTTGCATGCACTGATTAAGTCCAAATTAACTGAGCTGCAGCCATCTCTATTTTTGGCCGGTAACATTTCCATTTGGTTTAATTGCACATGTCTAATATTTAAACGTATTAAACCATTTTTCCCTGCTTACAGTAGTGTCATATACATTTCTCACCTTTTAGGTTCTGGCTCACAGGAGCCCCTGCGACTTTGACAGCTGTCGTTTTGGCTGCACAGGAGACGAATCGCCCTCCTTTTGGTGCCAGAAGAAGCAGGAAATTAGCCAGGTTGCAAGTTGAAAATCTGCCACGCCAGTGCTTTGAATCCAATATGCCACACCTTCCAGCGGGGGAACTGGAAATTGCCATCCCGGATCTGTGTTCTAGGCGGCTGCTTATGCCGAACCTCCGCACACTTTGTTCACTATTGCCTTACAAAGAACAAATGAAATGGGGATTGAAAGCCAGAGAGATCCGAAGCAGGACAGAGCTCAGCAAAAGAATGCGGCTCTATTCTCGCAAGGGAAATTATAAAAAAGTTCATGTTCACGGTTACCATCCACATGACCGACAACGACCAATGGAAAAACCGAACAACTCATAAAGTTGTATTGCAAAGTTGTAAATTTTCATAAACAACAACGGATTTATGGCCTTTTCCTCATCACTAAGAAGAGGCAGGTCTTAGAGAGGCGCCATCTTACCACAGAGGCAGCCCTAGAGTTTTTTAAAAGACCTGGACTTTGTACTAATTTTATTAAAATTACAATTAGTGCGTTGACCAGGAACGGACTGTAGCAGAAAAAAGGGAACTTCAGCGCAAATAATGCTCCAGGTCTTACCTGGATTTATCTAGACGAATAAAAGGACTTTTCGGGTTAGATTTTTTTTTAATTAGAAAAAAAAAATAAAGGAGGGGAATATTAGATCTCATCGACATTGCTTGGTACCTGGCAAAAATTAGACATTTTCTAAAGCGGGGCAATTTTTCCCCAATTTCGTGCCACCGTGATGCCCCCTGGCCCCCGAAAGCCGAACACACAAACCACA